ATTCACAAATAAAGTCCCATTAAGTAACAAGTGTAATGTGTTTAACAAACTCTCATAATATCTCTGATAACATCCTAATGCTAAACTGATATACCATTAAGGTCAGTGAGCTTTTGGTTACTTTGTCCAACATGCCTTTCGATGCACACTAACTTTTTCTTTGACTATGAAAATCCGCAAACTACTACCCTCATGTGGCCATATGGCTATACTGCAGCTGGACAGATTAACTGGAATGTGATTTTGGCAAGAGACTTCAGGCAAAAAGCATATGTTTACATGCACCAGTCAATTATTAGAGTTTGGCTTACTTTGCTTAACATGTCTGCTATTACTGTTAGAGAAGTTGGAATTACAGGGTCGAGGTATCAATGTAATAAAATGAATACAGTCTAAATAGACACTGAATTTACAATATATATTTAGGCCAAGAACAGCAGTGTTTTATCAGGCAAAGATTAGCTATCCCCACACTATAAAAAACATGGAGGTAGAATTGCAAGATGCAGGAGTTGCTTTCAAAGGGAGTAGGATTAGATTGGCAGATGAAGAGTGAGGTGGAGCTGACGCTGCTGAGAGCATCTGTCCCCAGACTGACTGTCTCCAGTGAAAGTTAATATAAAAATGTAATTTAATACTTTCTTTATAGAATTTTTTATTTTGCAAGTCAATTTCATGCAGGCAATTAAATCAGAATAGAAGCGCCAATGTGATATCCATAGCTTGGAGTGAAAATAATCATAATTCAACGACAGGGTTCAATAAATGTTGATCCGGAAGGTTATGTTCAGCCGTAAATCACTGTTACTGCAAGTTGTTCAAATACGTAAAGGTACAACACACAAAAGGAGTGAGTTGTGGTAAAAACACATTTTGACAATGAATACATGTTATTTTTGAAACCCCTCCTATCAGCCCATGTCTAACTGTTTCACAAAAGTCTCTATCCGTGTTCCTGAAACTTTGAATCAGCTGTTGGGTCTCTTCTCTTTGAGGAAATACATTCAAAGAGGGTTTCTCGGCCTTCCCTTTTTCAGGATTCTGTATTCAAGGCTTCCATTTAATCCAAATAACCTACATAAATCAAAGGCCAGGAGAAGCTCAAAACTTCCTGCTGTATATCACCATGACAGCGTATGTCACGGGTTAATTGCATTCATTTAGCCAAGGTCTGAGTTAGAACTTGAACTTGGACATGGAATACAGTTCCATGGCAGGGAACCCAAAATATAATGACATCATCATTTATTGCCTTTTTCCTTAGATGTGGTTATTTTTAGTCTTGTCTGGCAGTGTGACACTTTCATGAGATTCCCCTTGGACTTTATTACATCTTCATTTTATTATCAAAGAGGACATGATGACCCAAGACAGAAGGATCAAGCCTCTGAAGAGTCTTTCTAATGAGTCCCAGTTGTGAGGCCGCACTGGGGAACCATGCTTAATGACATTGTCTGTAAACAAACACTCTACTGTTGAACCACTGTTGTCTAATTAATCTCTCCCCTCAGTAATTACAACGGAAGGAAAGTGGTAATGCAAAAAACTTTAAAGTTACATTTTGAGGAAAACCTGATACTTCAATATAGACAAACGATCAAATAATGACCCTTCTTTAAACCCTCATAACATAAATGTTTAAAGTAAGAGCCGACTGTAAACAATTAAAGAAAATAATGTGTACATACACTCATTGTATGTACACAGGAAGTAGTAGAAACATTGCATTCAAGCAATCCTTTTTCAATAGTTCTGAAATGATTCATCATGGTACTTACTGATCATTTGACCAATTTAGATAAATGACACACATTTTGGTGACAATTTACTTAAAAATACAATTTTAGCACCGAGTAAACAGCCTCTCCTTAAATGTATGACTTTTGATTGTGTTTTCTGACTTTGCCTCTGATAGTTAATCTTTGCACAGTTTTTATTGCGCTGCACAATAACACTGAGGTCAGCTCTTATCTGCTCTGTCCTCATGGATCATGCTTGGTTCTTGGCTGGGCCTTATCACTAACTTGTCCTATTTTCAAAGTCATCATAATGCCTAGACACTGAATCAGCCAACTTTTATAAGTCTGTCTAAAATTTAATTGTTAGACCTTTGTGATGAACTTGAGAAAATACTTTTCAAGGATTTGTTACACTGTTGGACTTCCCAACTTTTCTTTAAAAGTGTAAAGATAATTTATTGATAAGGTTTCAGTTGTACACACTGGCGGCCTCTCCCTGACCCTATTGAGCAAATCACCAGCCAGTTGTCTCTTATCCAAAATAGATACAGTTTCTTAAGCATTGTTATTAAATTGTAGTGTTTCTAATAGTATTTATTTTGTGACAGTGGGCCACTAGCTATGTTTTAAGGACATAGGCTATGTATACTTTGCTTTATAAATTCAACATTGGATAGTGCATTCATTCATTGGTGGTGGTTACTTATAACATCCTTAATAGAAATCTTTAATTTCTTATGTTTTTTTGTGAGGCATTTTTAATTTTCTGCTGCTGCACAATTACATTTTCGATGTCTTGTTGCTTCAGGCCAATCTCCAATATATTAAGCTTCGATGTCTTTGCAGTAAATCGTTATTGTGTCGGCTAGTAACTTCACACAATCTAAAGTTTACACTACAAAAAGGGCTTCATTGGTGTAAGGGGGCTGAGTTGCAGGCCTATTTCATACAGCCCTTTAGAGAAGAGGTACGTGAGCATTAGATTGTTAAGGGCTTTGTACTTGAGATTTTCAAGAACACTAATGACTCATATCAGTGTATACCCATTCCCATAACATTCAAGTTTTAATTGCAAGAGAGCAAAACCTTCTAATGGATGCAGAGGAGATTAATTAGGCTTAAGCCTCAACAGTAAAAGGTTTGTTTGTTGCACGCAGGGTCATTAGCTAGCCTCCTTTGGTAATGCCATCACAAATAGGGCTCATTAGCATAGTTCCTAGGAGTCAGTGTGGCAGGAGAAAATCCTTTTGTCTGGGGTAACTGTGTCCTGTTTGGTGATAAAAGCCCCCTCAGGAAATGCTATTTATTGTCAATGTTACACTTTGTTTCCAAGTCAATGCATTCACGCCAAGTTTATACGAAGTGTGACAGTTTTTGTAAAAGAATACTGAATTTGTTTATAGTTTCGCCATTACTAAACACTCAATTTAGTAAGACAGTCGGTCAATTAGTATTGTATTTATCCTCTTCCAAATCAAAGGAAGTTCTACTTTGTAGCCTAACAAACTTAACTTGTTATTTCAGAAAAGGTAGTCTTGGGGAGAAAGCACAGTGCACAGGGGCCAACATGTTCCACCTATTTACCTCCAAGTATGAGACCGCAAGACCTGCTAATAGATGCAGGTGAGAATAATTAGGCAAATGTTTGAACAGTAAACAGTTTTGTTTGTTATCAGAAGGGCCATTAAATTGCTTTCTCCGATGATGAAATCTCAAACTGTGTTCATTAGAAAGACTCTAAGGTGTAATTTGCAACAGAAAGCCCTTTTGTCTGGAGTCATTATGTGCTGTTTGATGATAACAGAGAGGAGGATGCTTTGGACATTGTTTTTCATTCCCTTTAAGTCATAAAGATTTTATTCAGATTCTACCATTTACACCGTGGTCAAGAAGGAAATGTTTTGGGATTAAGTTTAACCAATCACTCAAGAATTGATAAAAAGGCAAAACAAATCCCTCGAAAATGCAACTGTAGTGCATTCAGGACCTCAAGCAACTCAGTAGAAACATTCATGATTTGGTAATAAAAACGTTTGACTTCTGCTAAAATGTATTGTTTTTGTGGTTGGCGAAAACTATTTTGAAAACTGCCACCATATCGTCAATATGAGTAGAAAAGCCAAACATCCTCTGAATGCCCTACAGTAGGTCTCAAGTTTGCTGTTGTAAAGCTTTATGAGGCTGTGATTATCCTAGATACCAGAAAAACTCAAATTTGACAGGGAGGTCAAGATTAAAAAAGATGGTCTCCACACAATGGTGCGGCTTATTTCGGAACACCATCGCACGTGAAAACAATTGAGCTAATCGGATTCACAATTGTCTCAGATTTAGAGAAATCCCCAATTTACGCAATTCTAATACTGAATGTTTTTTCCCTGAACTGGGATAAGCATGTCTATTAAGTGGAGGTACATGTGTACCAATAGATCCCTATGACATTAAGAGATATTGTGATGAAAGGTCAAAGGACTGCTGTGAATATGGTCATGACAGTTTTTCCCCTCGCTAAAATATAGCCATATTTAGACTGCTTACAGAGTTGGTATCACTGGTTTATAAAATTCACAATCACATGAAATCAGATAATCCCAGATCTCCCAAATCTATTGACAGTATCCTAAAAAGATTAGAATCATTAATGTTGTCCGAATAAATAAAGGCTTGTTTGAATAAGTAATATTGTAAAGTGAATCAAAAAGAGTAAATAACACTTCCAAACTTTGCTGTTTGGGTTTCAGTGTTATTCTTAAGTGACATTATTTATAACCTGCATTATTTCCTTCCCTTTAGAAAAAAGATTAATGAGAGCCACAAAACAATAATGAGGTGTTTTTTTTCTCTGCAAGATAAGTTATGAAACAATGCAGTAGTCTTCACGGATTCAACTTTAATTGCAACTAAAGGGTCCTACTAATTATGTTATTGTTTATACATATTGCTTTAATTAGCAGAGTTCATGTCATCACTAGAGATCAATGAAGATGATATAATTTCCACTGTACACAGGTCAGACACGCAGACACATGGAGCCTCATTGTGTATAACGGACATCAACAGAGAAGGTGAGTAAAAAGTGCACTGTGTTGTATTCTGTTGTGTGTTTGTATTCACTTCAAGACTGGTCATGGTGTACATGTGTCCATTTGAAGTATGTGATAGGAAAGCTAAGTAATAAATGTATTTGCTTAATCTTTTTTAGCCCACAGAGCTTTGATATAACGCGGACCAGCAGCAGTCTGTAGCCTGCCGAGTTCAACTATGTCTTCTGTTTTAAACGACTCTCTCATCATTCATCCTCCAGGCTTTTATATCATCGCATTTGAGACATTTCCCAACATCAGTGTCTACATTATCTTTCTAGCATTTGTCTATGTGGTTACACTAGTGTTCAATATTTTATTGATCTACATAATTGCCTGTAACCATTGCTTACACACTCCAAAATTCATGGCAGTTGTCAACCTGGCAGTAATTGATATTGTCTTAAACACAAGCACTATTCCAAGCATGATAAAGACATTTCTGTTTAAGGACAACTTTGTTCCATTCAACCTCTGTTTGTTACAAATGTATGTTTATTACGCTTTTATATCTTTGGAGTCGTATTCCCTTGCTATACTTGCCTATGACAGGTTGATTGCAATATGTTCCCTTTGCGTCAGAACGTATTCAACACACTGCCGATCATGTCTTGTCTTATCAGCGTTACTTGGGTTTACAGTCTGGGAAGAGTTGCATACAGCACCTCAATCATGACTCGACTTTCTTTTTGCAATTCTGTCAGAGTGTTTAGCTACTTCTGTGACTATGCACCTGTTTTTAGACTCGCCTGTAATGATTACACACTACAGTGGTCAATCGCTTCAACTCCAAGCATGGTGAATCTGATGGGCCCTTTGACTTTCATCCTCCTGTCTTATTTCATCATTCTGGTCACTGTGTTCAGGATGAAATCAGTAAATACTAGGATGAAAGCTCTCGCTACTTGCATTGAACACCTAGTCCTTGTTGCTGTATTTTTCACTCCTATAATCATAATTTTCTTAATTGGTCTTTATGTGCGATCCATTGACCCGGACCAGCGTGTGTTGAGTCTGTCGCTGGCCTCTTGCATCCCACCCTGCATAAATTCTGTTGTATATTCTTTAAAAACAAAAGAGATCAGAACCAGAGCCCTGGCATTGGTCAAAAGAGTAAAAATAAGCCCTTAACAAATTAATTTTTTTCCAAAAGCTATCATTGGAGAGTTATAATGTTCAACGGTCTCGATTGTGTGCGTATGTGTGTGTGTCTTTGGTGGAACAAAAAGAGGGCTACAGTAAAGGAAATGGGAATGCTTGTGTCTGATTTATAAGCATTTCAAAGCTTAAAGTTTAATATTATGTATCAATCATATTAATCCATAATATGTTTTTCTTTTCTTCTTATATTCAAGAGCATGAAATAATGCCGGAAAACATATTAGTGACTTATTATGACATAAAATATACTTGTTGTAAACTGTACTTGATTGTAATTATTTGCAATGTGTTCATATGACTGCTCTGGTTCTTCTATGTGTCATATGGAATCCTCTTATCTGAAATACTTTGACTTTTTTTTTACTGTATCTCTTTTGTTTATTCCTCATCAATGATTTGGCAAAGCCAAATGTCCCTTTATGTGTGTTGCATGAAATAACATCAGATAAGCATTTTTGACCTAAGTTTGACGATGTTGGCACAGGTTGAATTTTGTTTTCCTTTCCTAAATATGTGATGAAAAGAGTGAAAGGGGGACATAATGTAGAGGCATCTGTATTTGGGCTCTGATAAGTAGGCATGCATTATCATTTTCAAGGATAAATATTTTAAACTTGTGATATTTAAAATTAACTGGAGCGTACTTGGGAGGATGAATAAAATGCACAATTCTTCCTACTGTTGTATGTCTCCTACTATGAACCATGTCGGCAAGTGGTTCAATTGAAAACTCCAACAAAATCAGTAGATATCTGTAAATTATTTTTTAATTATTTATTTGCTGAAATATAAATATATATAATATATATAAACTGGCATTAGATATATAGTTCCAGTTTATATATATTATATATATTTATATTTCAGCAAATAAATAATTAAAAAATAATTTACAGATATCTACTGATTTTGTTNTTTAGGCTCAGCGGAAAGTTGGTTCTTGTACATTCATTTTAGG